CAACTATGCTCCACACCTTCCCCGCTGCAGCCCTCGCATCATTCTCGGTACGTGCATTCCTCTCTCGCTTCGCCCCACACCTACTCGCTGCTCCACACCCACTCCCGTGATGCTCCATCCTTTCCCACTACAGCCCTTTCACAATGCGCAACACCTATTCTCGGTATGCCGTCCCACACTGCTCGGCCCCCTCACCCCTGCTATCCTCTTCCCAGCTGCACTCACCCCACGCCGCGAAACTTCTTTTTCGCGTTGTGCCTCACCCCTACACCCTAACTACTTAACTATTAATAACACACAATTTCTTCCGTAATTACTTATTATGAACTCAAATAGTGTTTCTTTTTGACTTTCCTACGTGTAGTGTTTCTTTTGTCCAGCTGCACATGGAGACGCCCAGATTCCAAGTACTGTGACCGCCATCCTCAAGGTTGGGACATTCTGCCGCCTACGCGCTCAGCCCAGTTGACGACGAGAGGCACCTTTAGCTTCAAGTTCGGGCGAATCGACATCCGGGCCAAGACAGCGGCGGGAGACTGGCTGATGTCAAGTAAGACGTCCTTCTACGGATCTTCATTTCTTTGATAATAACATTTGAGAATAAATAGGTAAAATTATCAAAGGTTGTATTTCACGTGCTTTGCAAAATGACCGGTTAACCGTCTTACCCACTGGCGGTGAAGTGGCAAGAAGGTTTATTTCCAAATTTCAACAAATAATTGAAAAATATTTGTTGATATTAATAACAATCACAATTGATCATCTCTCTTAAAAATCAATCTAAAAAAATTAGCTACTACGAGAAATGAACGGAATCGATCAAAACCTGTTGATTAGACTTTGCAGAATAACACAGAACACTTTGAAATCTACAACACCAAGTCTCTATTTATAGTTGTCACTTGATTTTACTCTCAACATGTCACATATATTTTTATCGTTATGTGAAATCGATTACTACAATCGGTTACTCGACCAACATTTTCATGGTCCGGTTGAGTTAATTTGTAGTTTCGGGTGCCCAACTCAAATAGTCTGCGCTGCGCGAGACCGGAATACGCATTGCGGCTGAGGAGGGATGACTGGTGGAGGAGGGCAATGAACGAGGACGTCAGTACAGGCTCGCTGCACGGTGGTTTCGGAATCCGCGCGAGTTGCTGTTAGGCGAACGCGAAATATTTGACTTGCACACCCGAAAGCAACAAAGACACGATTAAGTGTGCTTCGAGCTTGATGAGGATTAGAAAGCCTGATCCGGAGCCTCGCCATGAAAAATAGAATAGGTTCAGAACGAAGCAAGACATAGTTAATTAAAACTGTTGAATATCAACAATACAATTAAAATTGTGTGACCAACGACGATATTATCGATATTCAGACACATGTTTATACAAGTATTATCTATTTATTTGCATGATTCTTTATAAATTAATTTATAGTCTCAAAGTCACAGTACATTGGTTATCTCCAGCCTCGGAGGCCTACAACCCCAACGTATTCATATTTATCGTTATTTAGGAAGAGGCATTCGAGACAATTCCGTACGCGTGAATTATCGCAGAGTTAATTTAAAAGTGGAAAAAGGAGGGAAAAAAGTTCGACAGAACGCGCAATGTTTCGCCATTTGCAGAGCTGGTGCTGGATCCGAAGGCGTCCGCGTATGGGAGCATTCCCTTCGAGTCCGGGCGCATGGAGATGCTGCGATCGCGGGGCAACGCCGACGTGCTGGAGCCCTCGGGCTGGCAGCTCGGGGCGCGCCTCAACGACCCGCAGGCCGACATCCGCGCCTGCGACCGCAACCTCTGGCTCTACAAGAACTGCCCCCTCAACTACGGCAAGCTCTACTCCGAGGAGATGCGCGTCTTTTCTTTGGTGTGGACGCCCGGTAAGCGTTTTGAGGTGGACGTGGCGCGGGCGGTCTGCAGCCAGGTTTCGAGCAGTCGCGACTCATTCGTAATTCTCATACACTACTCTTCTTTGGTGCATTTTTGGTCAGTTGTGCAGGCCCTCACATTCACACAGATTTCTCTTAGTTTACAACATAATAGTGCAATGCAGAAATAGACACAAGATATCCTGTAATCACAGGTTTTCTAATAAATTAAATATGAGATTTGTTAAAGGGGAGGTATTATTATTGGAGTTATGTAATGTATTTAACATGTTATTATTTTGTGAAGAACAACAGTTTATTTATGTAAATTATTTAATTATGTAACCCGATTTCCGATTTCTTCCATTCCCGATTCGACCCCGATTTCTTTCATGCAGATAAATAACACATGTTTCATCAGTCGAACACATGTTTCGATGAGCAGAGATACTATTAAAAATAATTATTATGTAGACTATGTATACAATAGTAGTTCTTTTTCTATATGTATCAGTGTATGCTCCTGAAAAATTCATTGTGTGAGCTCTTTTTACCTCACCTTTTCGTTCGTCCTCTATGAATGTAAACATTTATATATGCACTTGTTTTAAAATGTGTTTAATTTAAAGACACTTATTAATACTTTTACTTTACAGAATCCATTACAATGACAATTGATGGCGAATGCGAACATATCATAAGGCCACCCGCTGGAGGATTCTTAAAGCACGATCGGTTAAGAGATGAATGTTACGATAGTCTCCTAGAGCGAGGAACACATATGGCGCCTTTTGATAAAGAAGTAAGAATCTGTAGAGATTATTTAGACTAATCATGCTTCTGTTGAAATAACTACATTGACGTTCTTTCCAGTTTTACATCTACATCGGTCTTTTGGTAGCCGGATTCAATAACTATTTAAATGAAGTTATCAGTAAAGGTAACCCTAAACCCTGGAATGACCGTGATCCAAGGGTAAGTCTCTAATATTTCATTAAAAAACCTGATGTGATGTTGATACTATTCGAATGAACTACTTTCAATTTCAAGGGTGTTAATTTGTGAAAAGGCACAGTTTGCAACACCCTTCACTGTTTCAGGCATGGCTTAAGTTCTGGCAGCAGAGACACCTGTGGGAACCAACATGGATTTCAGATATGGAAGTAGACTATGTTAAAGTTTGGGCCTTGTGATACAGCGAATCTATGTTCCATCATACAAGAAATAATTAATTTTTATTTATAATGTTTTATTGTGTTTAATTTTATTTATGTTTCTGTAGACGCATAGACTAAATCCAAGCGATTTCTTGAGATATCGTATAAAAATAACACACCATTTCTAACATACTTAACATTTTTTACACACTTCCCGGTTTCTCTTATTTATTTATATGCAATAACACACCATTACTCACATTGAATTATTTTCAATGTATGAACATTTTATTTGTAATGTTAACAACTACCTTTTAGTGATATTTACGAATATTTGCTAGAAGAATGAATTAATATTTCTTATACATTTTCTTTATTGATGAATCAAGTCTATTTGTTTCTTAAATGACAGTCAGATTGTGACATATACATTTTAATATTGTTAGTACCCAATTTGCAAAGGAGAAATGTAATGTAAAATCTATCACATAACCTGTCATCTGAAACAAATTGTTATCACATATTAGTTTAAGCAACACGGCGTGGAAGGGTGAAAATAATCTCCATATCTTTATTTATATTTTCATATTATATAACTTTTCACTTTATAATTATGTGCTCTGGGTGTGCAAGTGGTACATTTACTGTCGCAGCAAGCCATATATTTTACTAGTGATAAATATTTATTTATGGCATTCATTTCTAGGAAAATGTGTTTAATTTTTTTCTTTTTTAACTAGCTGAAAAACGCGACATTTATTATCGGTAGGGAACTAGCTTGCATGGAAATACATATTTTTAAAACAAGAAGATTTTTGCATTCATATATGTTTAGAGTATGGACGATAGTCTAAATAAATTAAAATCATTTTAATTTACTTTTTCTCACATATTTTGGTATAATTTCATATTTCGTTATATTCGAATATATTTACATATCAGAACAAATTCTCTTGGGTTCGAGTTGGCCAATAGTTTACGATTCCGGGATTGTCGTGAAACAAAACAGTGGAATACCGCGTTTCTGTAACCCGATTTTTGCCGCGATATCAAATTTGACCTACGCTTCTCAAAATTTGGTAAAATAGAGAACAAGTGAATGTTAGCAAGCAGAAGTAATCGCAATTGCATGGTTCCTCATGTTTCACAGAGACCATGCGCAATTCTAACAAACGTGACAAACATTTCTTACAGATCATCGTGTTATCACACATCCAGAACCCTGCCGAGAAACGTACAGCGCTGTGACAGGGACATAAACTTTCGAAGCTATTTATTAAATCCCACCCGCTCGGACTTTAAGAAATATTCCTTTGTTATAGGATGTTATCAATATGTGATAAGTGTTTTGAATAATTTATATTCTATTATAAAACAAATGTATTGGGGGCCATTATCTCCTACCTCCTCTACCCGATCCGTCACTGGCCACGCGATATGATTGTTCACATGGGCACCGACTTCTCGAAAACAGCATTGTGTCTAGTGCTTGTTTACTTGTATTTTATATTTCGTATAAAGCTCGAACTGTGTAGTGAAGACTAGTAATCAATTACTTCTGTAGAGAGTATATTTGTTCAGCCGCTTAGTTAGCCGTTATAATACAGTTCAAGCCATTATTACCCACACTTTTTTCTGGAAAATTTGAAAATGTTTGCATAAAAAAACTTACCCACTGCTATGTACGAGCTATTTCAGCAAATCATCACAATCAGCAAAGAGAACGAGTTCTAAGTGTAATGTATAAAATAAGCCTATTTCCAGACCACCGTCATTATCGTTTGTCCTTGCCGTTTTTGAGTTATTCTAAAACGTCAACACCGCCACCAACAACAAAGAAACAGAGCCTTTAAATTTAAATGTAATGCCGGAAAACATAAAATCGGATATTTTTTTGAAAATATCGTGAAGAAAGTAAACTTCTTGCATTTTGACATTTTAATTTTTCTTAGTTGAATTTTTATGTCCAAATACATTATTTGATAGCACCTGCGCATCAGTGGCGCAATTTCGTCACTTTTCAACTTCTTGGTCGTATAGTGACCCCTGTGTTTTTTAAACTGTAGGAAGAACAGTAGGGAAAGCACGCAAGGATAACATACACATACACATCCGTGCCCGAGGACAGATTCGAAGCCGCGACCCTTCGAGCCGAGGCAACTTCAGCAGCCCTTCAGCCTTTAACGACCTCGGCGATCCAGGCCGGCCTCAGTGGCGCTTCCTCACGGGGGAAAGAACTCGCATTTTTATTTTTCAGGATGTAATTACCAATTAAAATGTGCTTTCATGTTAGAGAAAAATGTTTAATTTTCGAGTCTATTGCTACGAGGAAATTTATTTTGATGGAGTTTAAAACTACACGTGCGTAAATGCTTGATGAAATCGTTCTAAATCAATCGAAATCGCTCTGAGGAGAAACTTGCAGCATTTCTCGCTGTCGAGTGTCATTCTTCCTGCATCTCACAGTCCACCTGCGGCTAGAAGTGGAAATGCGTTTCAATTGAGAAACACGGCAGGAGGGGATAATCTCTTACTTTGAAATGCCACCTTGCGACTTCTCCGGCAATTAACCCAGTCAAATTTGACCAAAAAATAGCGATCGAAGGAAAAAATACCGGAGTTTTGAAACTTCGCATGATTGTTTGTTGGTACCTACTCTACAACATACTAAAACACCTTAATTGTGAGGTCTGAGAAGGGTGCGGGGAGGCCGTTTGAAAGTCATTTCCATCATATCCATAACTTATTGTATATCCATTACTATCAACCCCACTGAAAAGTATGTTGTATATAACATTAAAAAAGACAAATATTCCTACAAAAAGGTACCTATGTTTTGTTGTAAAATTAATAATTTTATTTTTATAGATTTGATTTTTTCTTGTTTTTGTTTACGTCAAGACCCTAGTTATCTCTTATAAAATGATATTATGGTAAGTTTAATACATGGAAAGAATTCTACTTTTGTTCAACATTTTTCAACAACATGTATTTGTATATTTTGCGCAAAGAAACTTTACAAATCTTATTATGTTCATGGACTTGTGAGTATCCGTGGACATTGAAGTCCAAGATTACCGCTGGTACGAATTTGATAATAATCGAGTGCAAATATTTGGTAAAGAATTGTCACTGTCAACATACAAATTACATAAAACAATACAAACAGAATAATTACGTTTTCTGGGAACATTGAGGGACAATTAAAACCGAGAATGTGAATGACGAACGGCACTCAGTGTTTGGCGAGGGAGTCCAATGACTAGTGGATTGGGGGAAGCCCCACCTTCACTAAAGTCATTAACAACTTCGAGTTTCGCGATTAGTTAAGTTGTTTTTCATAATGACTGCCTCACTTAATCATTTTTATTTGTATTGTTTTATGTAATTTCTATGTTGACAGCGTACAGAATTCTTTACCAAATATTCGTACCCGATCCTTATCAAATAAACTACGGATTATCAGTTTTCGCATCTGAGGTAATTTCGAACCCCAATGACTACGGGTACTCACAAATCTATGCCCTTATTGTTTGGCAAAATTTGCAAATATATATTTTGATAAATGTTGTACAAAAATAAAATTACTTCCATGCATTTAATCCATCAAAACGTTTTTAAAAGAGATAATTAGGGCATGTAAACAAAATCAATAACTTTTGAAGACTATAACTTTAAAATTGTTAATTTTACAACAAAATATTATAGGAACTGTTCTGTAATAAAGTTTGTTTGCTTTAATTTTGTATAAAGGTATTTTATATTTTTGGTGAGATTGACGGATATGTATGCAAAATACGTTAAATAAGCACCTTTGGAAGGTCTCCCCGCCCCCGGCTCACCTTCAACACTTCAGGAGTTTTAGTACGTCGTGCAGTAGGGGCCAACAAACACTCGTGCCAACTTTCAAAACTTCGGGAGTTTTTTTCACTTGATTTGTCTAATCTGTCTGGGATAAACCAGACGAAAGCGTTATGCGCTTTGACTTGTCAGAAACTGTTTCGGCGACATGGGAAGGATCAGGGCAGAGCAGCTGCCGAGCATGGTCTATGAGTAGGGAAAACGTTGGGTGGCGGAAGGCAGGAACGACCCAGCAGATTCTTCTCTCGAATCGCATTGTAAGCCGATGCCTGTAATAAAATTTGTTGTATTTTTTTGTAAACTGGTTTATGCAATCGAATTGTCTCCTCTTAGGAAACATGCTCAGCAGTGTTGCGAAAATTAATGACGATTTTCACAACAAATACATATACTTCCTTTTCTGGATGAATTGAATTCAATTCATTCGTGGACAAATTATTTTATTCTATTAGATAAAGCATTAAAACATTATGGAAGACGGTTCAGAGAATCGTGATTTTAATACATTTTGTGAATAAGCAAAATACCAATTTACGATCCATTTGCCTGAAATTTCAAATAACTTTCATTTTCTCTATTGTTATTATTATTATTGTTAAAACAAATTAAATAAGTAATATTTTTGTCATACTTGATATAAAAATGAAGATCGAGATTTTTGTAAATGAAATTACCATGAAACACATCAAAATACTAAAACACTTGAACATTTTTATTCACAATTTATTATTGGATAATATTTTTTATCATTCCTCGTTCATTAGTTTTCATTTGTATTGACTATAGAAAAACTTGTTTATTAAATGTGTACTCATTATCACTTGTGTACAAGCTTATGTAAGTGTTATTTGAAATACTATTAATATTTGTTTACGGGTGAAATATTGGAAACAGGAAATAAGGATATACTTTCAGTTCGTCAAAATGTATTATTTCCAACATTCATTCCCCACCTTAACGCTGCCTCTATATTTTCAGTCAAAGCGGTAGCTATGAACTCCTTTCGATTTGTTTCACAAAGTGTTGTTTTTGTTGTACTCATATGATTTAACTCAAACGTATTTACAAAAGGAGCATTTCATGAAAATCATGTTCTGAACGCAAATGTAATGACGAATAGTCGGTTCGATATTTTAGATTCAGAGTAATGTTGAAGTAAGTATTTATTGTTTCCGGCTCGTTAATTAATTAGACTATTAATCCCAGAAGTGTATTGCATGTCATAACCCGGAAGGTGACAGTGTTTCTTCTCCGCTGTAATTATCCTGGTATTGATAGGAGAAATCACGGAAACGTACGGATCAGTGCAGCCGACCGCTGAAATTCTCTCCCCCCTACAGTGGCTGAATTGGACTAAGTAATTAGAATTGAAAATTCACCACGATCGGTGCACGAAGCGTAGGACCTCCCAGTGAACAATAATGCTGAAGAAACGATGCTGAGTAATGTTAATGATAGGCTGTGACAAAAGCTCATAATACGTAATCGTTCGTTATTTTCTAGTTGGGTTTTCTAGTTTCTAAACTTTCTCTTGGGAACCCCCTAGAATAGCTGGCCAGCAAATTCCGTTGTACATGCATCACCAGAGTTCAATTGACATCTCATTAATTTTGTGGTTCGTGATGAAGTCAATGAAACAGCAGTTTCTGAAGTTGAATATTTTATTTAATTAATGCAAAAATCATTATTCTTAACCCTAGAAAACATAGTCTCAAAAATCTACATAAATATATAAGCAGGGCCCTATGTTTTGTTTTATATACTTCAATGATTTTTAGTATCAATTGTTAATATATTATTTTAGAGATGGCAGGGGCGAATAAAATTCTTACATACTGTTAATATTGCAGAAAAGTTTATTTTTATTAATGCACAATAACGACCACAATAATATTCGAAAGTAAAGGTGTTAAATCAGGACATGATTATTCATATTTTACAGACAACTTTTACAAACTATGAAGCTGTGTTCTTTGCAAGTAGAATTTTACTTTTTCTATGCCTGTTGTATGGATAGAAGGCACACATTTTTCTCAGAAGTAAACCTTGTGTTTCTAGATTTCCGGAATGTGGTTTTATACCACATTTGGCTATTGCGTCTCGTGTCTTCTAAGGAAGGTTGGGGATTTTTGACCTTTCTTCCATATAGACTTGAATAAGCTGAAATGACAGACCTTTTAAACAAATTCTGCGTTTGTCTGATCTGTTTGAGTTGTACTCCAGATGCTGCACTTGACTATTCAAGGCTGAAATGTCCATAATATTCATCCATAAAGCGTATGGCCACCTACAGGTTTGCCGTTTGCATGTGTAATTTCTTACCACCTGATCCATTTTGTCAACAGCTCCTTTGGTTTTGTTGTAAAATTGCACAATGTGTGTCTTTTTCTTTGAGTTATTTTCATCTACTCCTTGATCATGGTGCATGGTACTGAGCAGTATTACTACTTTATTTTTCTTTGTAGCGTTGCTGACCATAGTAGTACTATTCTTGAAACAAAAAATTGAAGAGTTTACTTCACGAGAAGCAGCGACTTTCATATCATTGGGAAACTCAGATTTGGTTGGTCTAAGTGTGCCAACAATTGTAATTTTCTTTCAGAGAAGATCTTGGGCCAAGAAAAAACTGATAAAGAAATTGTTCATTGTTACGTTTCTCGACGATCCTTCAATGGTTTTCACTAAATTCTTCACAACATTGCCTCCCAAATTATTTTGTACAGGCTCATTCGGTTTCCTTCTCGAGTAGATGCAGCCATCAATGGCATACGAGATATTTGATTCACATATCCAAAATATCTTTACTCTATATTTTGCTCGTTTTTTGGGCATGTACTGAATAAAGTTGCATCTCCCCCTAAAAGACATCAGTTGCCCATCAACTGTTAGAAAGGTCGCTGGAATAATAGTATTTCTTCGATTTCCAAGCTTGGTTTGTATTCACAAGAGTAACACCTTTCTTGGGGCCAGGAAGATATCTTACTATATTATGGGAAGGAGTGCGGGAAGAAACTGGAGTTTCACGATTCTAAGCAGTTCCATTGCGACTTATAAAAGGTGCTGGATTTGAATAGCTGGGAGTATTACTGACAGATGTGCCGTCATCAGAATGGGAAGTTGCAGTGCTGTCATCTTCACTCGCAGACTCGGAGGGAGCATAGTTCTATCTACTTCTGAAACTTCACTTTCCTCATCACTGAGCACATCTTCCTCCTCAAGCCACTCACAATCTCTTTTTGGAAGCCATGGTTGTAGTGAAATTGACACTCACTACCACACTTCTATTACTACTGCTCTCGCACAAAGCTCAGTTACCTATAAATTGTTAACGTGTAGCGTCAACAATCGGTGGCTATCAGTCTCATTTCTAAGAAAATATAAGGTGGAAACGAAGATAAGGAGGACGCATCGTTCCTCGAATTTTTTCAACAGAGTTGACAATGGATTATAGAGAACACCATCTATGCTTATGCGTTCATGTAGTAAAGATGAAAATTTCACTATTGCTCAGAAATAAATTAACCAATCCTGACGATTATGCTCTGTAATCGTACAAGAAAGATAATGCTAGGAATACCTAAGGATCAAAGAAGCTGGATTAAAACGTTTTAAGTAATTTTTCAAATACTTTTTCACAGGACCTTAGAGGCCCAGCTTATGTGTTCTAGGGTTAATCCCACATAAACCGCTGGATGACATCAAACCTCATTGTCTAAAGTTTTGAGTGGTAAAGAGATAGAGCAACAGCTGCAGATATGAAAGGTACAATTTTAAAGAAAACTAGCATTTTCCAATTGGCTATAATTAATCTCATGAAAAAGCGTGGATTCTTTATCACATTTCTACGATAATGTATCTTCTTTATATTGCCAAAGAATCAATGGACTATTTTTTGAACGAGTCCTAATTTACTGTTCTATTCTAACATATTTTTTCTAATTACGTCACTAGCGAACGAGATCCATAGACCCTGAGGCGACTTCATTCAGGCAGCTATCAATCCACGACCAAAGCAAAACCGTAGCATCCCTTGCTTAATATTTCGTCATAAAAGGGCAGCTTAGGAGGAAAAATGATCTCGCACTTTACGGGCAGTAAATTATTAATGGAGGTCGTTAACCCCCCGATAAACGGGTGTGTCCAAGAAGCGCCGGCAATCACGGCCCCGGGAGATGATACGGCGGGCCCACGAAACGCGGGAAATCCCCAGGCGGGCAGCGACGACGTCGGAAAGTCAGAGCGGCGCGTCCCTGGCTCTAACGAGGGACGAAAAACACGTCCGGCGCGGCGCGGCGCGGCGCGAGGTCAGTGCCAGCCGTTTTCGGGCGAGCTACTTCAACCATGGCCCGCGCTGCCGTTGCCGTTCGCTGCTTCTCGCGCTTCTTACCTGGCGCGGGCGCCCGCGCGCAGGGCGCCCCTGCCTCCGATGCCGCCGACGCGGCCCCCGCTGACCCCCCCGAGCCGCTCGTCATTGTGCAGGCGCTGCGCCCGGCCGGCCTGCGCATCGCCGTCCAAGGTGAGAACCCGGAACCGCCGCCATCGCCCCACCGCCCGCACCGGCGGTGGTATGTCGACAATTCGACGGGGCAGAAACTGGACTCGTGTATGAGGCCACGCGCGTTTCGCCGGTTCCGTAGACATAATTACGGTGGTTGGTTTCATGTAAGTAATCACGATTCGGCTTAGGGAAGTAGGAAAGCTCTGCCCGAGAAATACGTACCGGGAGAGGGGGCTCAAGGGCATCTACTGATGTCAATGCAGTCCCTCTGACCGGGAGGTACTAGGTTCGAGTCCCTACGAGCAGTATTTTCGACACTGGCTTGTCAGTCAGAATTCTAGTGGCCGGCTGCTCTGATCGGTAGTTTTCCGTGGTTTCTCCGATCAACACCAGGCGGAATGCCGGGGCAGTTACCCTAACTAACGGGCCACAAAAACCGCGCGACATTTCCCACCTCTTCCTTGTCCTATTTACTCTATCCTTAACACACACACACACACACAACACAAACACTCCAAGATGCACTATTTATGGACACATGCGGGACATCGGTCAGGATCTTAGATTTTGTCCCGGCTGGGGCGGTACCCAGCTGGTGAGAGATACCTGGTAGTCGACAGAGGATCTCGTCATCTAGTGGTGGAAGATCACCACCGCCTTCCGTGGAAAAGTGTGTACTACACTTGCGGGAATAATGATATTTGCCGTTGACAAGCCTATCAATGACAATCAATCAATCAATGGAGCAATATACCTAGGGATCTATTTATTTGTATTACAAACCAGTGTAACAGCTGCGATGTCTCAGCGGCAACACTGTTTCCACCGCAGAATCGTTGACCAGGAAGGCCTAGGATTAAAGTCCCAGCGATGCGAAGTTTCGTTTAAGCTGGGTCAAATTCAACCAATGTCTAAAGATTTCTTGTTGCCGGCTGCGCTGATCGGTAGTTTTCCGAGGTTCCGTCGATCAATAGCAGGCGAATATCGGAGTAGGAGCCTAACAAACGGGCCACGCAGCGCAAACATTTTTTCCTTCCTCTTCCTTGTCCCTCCTCTCCTCTTATATATGCTCACATATTCATGTACTGTACTGCCACACGAGTCAGGCGCCTGGAGCTTGTCCAGGCTGGAGAGCGCCCCGCGAGGGGAGGTATCTGGGGGAGGAGATAACTCTGAGAGGTCGACATGTAGGTGGGGACCAAATCTCACACTCCAGCGAGTGGACATCACCGCAACCTACCGGACAACTGGCGCAATACTTACGAGGCTAAAGTCCTAAGTAGTTGAAGCGACCTGAGTCAATACCAACCTACTCAATCACTTGTAACCTCTACTCGCGGTAATGTGGCAACCAGCAATTTCAGGTGCTGAAAGTGTGGGTAACCGATTTCGAAATACGTAATTGAGGTACCTGTTTCAATAATGCATTCACGATTAGGCTTAGCGAAGTAGGAAACTTCTCCGGGCGCAAAGTCTGTAAGATTCTATTTATTATTTGAATTATAAAAAGTATCTATGTACGAATTTATCAACATAAGGTACTAAATATCACAACTAAATACACAACGTAGCAGATTAACAATACCAAAATGAAGGACATCGTGCTGGGGTTTATTAAAATGTCCATAATGTAATCGAATTAATAATAGATATAGATAAGGACATCGTGCTGGGGTTTATTAAAATGTCCATAATGTAATCGAATTAATAATAGATATAGATAATAATAATAGATATTTGATAAGATAATCCCGGATTTTACAAAGGTTATCTCAAATCTGTCTCCACTGTAAGTCATGATTTTCTAGCAACGTTCCTCAATGCTATGTTGCATCACTCGACACGTGGAAATTTGAAGAATTCGCCAACACAGAATTGTGTTATATCTTTCGTCTACTTTCTGGTCATTTGTATAAATTGTCATTTTCATCAGACGATTTTTCTTCCTACAATTTCAGAAATGAAATGTGTTAAGTTGATTGCTATATGTCGAAAACTGCAATGTCAAGACCATGTTACAAAGAAATAAGTATTTCAAAGGAATCAAAAATATATAATATGAAGTATATCTGTAATATCTGTAAAAACGTATAGAAATTTAATTAAAATTTTCAAATACCAGGCATTAAAGACGTCTTATTTGCAATTAACATACATGAAGACAATAAAGTACATGTACACTTGTATATCGTAAAGTTGTTATATCAGTTGTTATAAGCAATTTAACCAATACTTTTATTACCAAATTGAGCGGAATACTGTACTTTTTGTTATTTATTAGGTTTTTCTTTTGTGATATCTACTTTTAACGTAATCATATATCATTTCTACATAATACCTATAAGATTTGAATCATTAATGAAATATAACTGCTTATAAAACAGCAAATTACACGTAAACTTCAAAATTTTACATTTAACATTAAAATAATATATTAAACTAATAAGAATGAGACATATTAAACACCAAAAAGTATCAAAACCGGTTACTGATGAACAAAGTGTTCTGAAATGGTTTTTAAAACGCGTAACGAAGTATAACGATGTATATGAGATAATTAGATAGCATACATATGAGATAAAACATATACTTCTGTATCGACGTACACACATTTTTTAAAAATTCATTAATGAGAAAATTTTTTATTAGTTATGTTATGTAATGAGTGCATATTTGTTGGGTTATTAGAGAGTGTTATTACCAGTCGTACTCCAGTGGGGAGGACCAACGATGGACCCCCAACGTCACTTTTCCTCTCAACGTTCCCTTTATTATTAGAATCTTTCTCAATCCTTAGTTATGGTTTCATCTTTCCATGCATATCAGATGTTAACAAAACAAAATCGAAGTATTCGTTACACGTAATCGCTTCTTGAAAACTCCAGCGTTCTCATACAGCCATGCGTGACCATATACACGTTATTTAATGGCAGAATGATGTGTATTAAAAATCAGACATAAATAATGTTACATGTTGTTTCAAATATTTGAAGCAATATCATCCTTAAGAATAGTAATCTTAGTTTATTATTTGTCGATGTAGAGAAAGAGTTTTGCAATCGGAGAAAAATAGTGATTGTTGAACTGGTTCTTACAAAATAGGAGGTCGGTCATCTGTTTCCGTGTAGAAAGGAACTGAAGCATTAAAATATTCAAAATATGTATGCTCTTGCTATTCCTAAAAAACTGAAAATATTTTTTAAACTTGCACACAATGGTTGTAAAATATTGCTAAATACTTGTAGCTTTAGTTCGTATATACATTTTCAATACATTATCTTATACAATACATACAATACACATTTATTATACAATATACATATTGTTCAATACAATATACAGTTTCTTCCGATTATATTGCCGTTGAAATCTCTACTGGATTTGTGTTCTCCGAGGACTGGATTGGCACTGGTAGGCGAGTGTTCCTACTTCCTTATTAACCAACACTTTAAGGATATGGAATACAAACTTTTTCCTCGTCCAGAATTAGACTATCGCGCTGACTGACAGCAGTGAATGTGGATGTTTCCTCTCCTCTCCCCTGCAGATCGACCCGGAACTGAGTTGGTGCTTTTCCAAGCAAACGTCAACCTGCCCATCGACGAAGGGACGCAGCGGGGCCAGCTGTCCGGAAACGTCTTGGAGCCCGCCGACGGCTTCTGGACGCTGCATCTGCCGGAGCCAGTCATCAAAGTCGGCGACGTCATCTTCTATTGGATACATGTGCGCGTCAATAAGCACGGATATACCTACCCGACGAAAATCGCAAAAATCACTGGTATGATCATTAATATTGTCGGCACATTTTTTGTTTTCTATTTTTAATGCAAGTATCGTGTATGTTGCAAAAATGTATACATGCATCGAATTTTGTGGAAGCACATAACAGAAAATATTATTTCTCTCTCGGTTTACCATATCTTAGCTAAAAGGGAATGAAGCAGAAATGAACACTCAGCTCAGTTGATTTAAAGTTTTGTTATCCTTGTTCCAATACTATAATTTTGTATGCTTGTTTTCAAGTACAAAATTTAAAATCTACATTATGGAATTTTGACGGGGAAAATATGTTGTCTCAGTTTTCATTTTCATTCTGAAAGAAAAAAAACCTTTTGCATGTTATGAATAATTTTATATTCTCAAAGACTCTCTAAATAATATGACAATAGAACATTCTAGAAAAATAAAGTCAGCACGTGCTTCACTTCCAAATTCTACGGTATTACATAAAACCTGAAAATTTTCAATTGTTATTCAAATCGCGCAACTCATCTAACGTCCAGTAAACTCCAATAACATTGCTGACGTAGCTACAATGTTAATCTTTCATTCTACGTAGACTAATGAAATTGAAGTAGAAAGAAATAAACATTTTAACAAATGTGTTTACTTTCGTTTGAGACGTAAGATTAAACACAAGTGAGCCATGCGTTTTACTTGTAGTGTATTATATTTTCCACATGAAACACTTGTATTAAAATGCAACAAAGACATAAAATACGTAAAAAAATGTCAAACGTTTAACGAGTAGTTAACGGAAATTGTAGTTGACAGAAGGATGTTGAGATATAATGATAATCATCAGTATGTATGCTGCTTTTCACCACCATTGTTTGTAGAATCTATATTGTTATTCATAGGATTTGGTAAGATAATTAAATACTTATTTTAGTTTTCCGACGTTTCGGACTTTATCACGGATTTCTATCGTGAGAAAGCCTAGAAGATGGACAAATAAAGTCCGAAACATCGTCAAACTAAACTAAGGGTTGGTTGACCAATTCTCATAAATAACAATACAGACATCAGTATGATCAATAGGTTTGTTCTGTTGAGCATTATAATTTTTATCGGCTACATAACGCATAAGATAGCATATCACGAAATGTTTGCTTCTCAAACACGATTGCTGACGCGTCTCAACATAAAATCTGGATCATATAAGACGATGATTAAAATTTCCTGATAAACAAGTCAGCCAAAGCGAAGAAGATATTCATTGTAATTAAAAATGTTTGTATAAGAACTTAAAAATGAAGACATCAATTTATATTAGGTGGAATGTAGTAATTTTGAGTATAAGAGTTAATGAATTTGAATATGATCTTTGTCTTCCTCCCATGTTAATTTGATATTAAGGCATTCTTTGATAATGTCAAGTACACACATGATCTCGTACTTGACACGAGTAAGTAAGCTACATTTTAATCATATTACAAGAATGCACAACTTTATGCGTAAAATCCCACCATTGAACTTAGAGCGTTAAGAGAAGACCTACAAAGAATAATTCACTGAATGAATCACAAAATGCGTAATGACTAATGATCTCTCCAATGAATACCTCTAATATCAATAAATCATTAAATATTTTGGGGTATATACGCATTTGTTCAATTTAAGATGTTCTCTCGAAACGCATTAAATACTCACATAACGCAATACAAAATAGTTCTCTTTTATAGTTATAGTTTACAAGTAATACAGTTCCACAATCTGATACATATTTACACTTACGAACCAACAATAACAAGTAAATAGAAAATTAACCAAAGGGTGTTAATAATCAATAAGTCATGATATTGTAGTGGTTAGAATTGTTTTATTCATCAGTGATTGTGACTCACATGATCATCAACTTATCATGTGTTCATGACACACATGATCATCATCAGGTCATCATTTATCAACTGCTCACTACAAAAAATTCACAAATAATACATGTACTTTATTTTACAACACCTTGACAGATGACATTAAACGATTAAATTCGAAGTTTCAGTCCTAACTTTTTCTGTTGTACAACTGTTTCTATACAATTAGAGACTATACCGAGAGTTCAGAAGGAAAGTAACATTAATTTTTTACAATGGCATTTGGATTGTACAATTGTAAAGAACCTGTAACAACCATTGTACTTCAGCTTCTGAGTCGAGACCCCCATCTCCATCAGGTTTTCGTCCAGTTTCCCTGATCCTCGAGCAAATGCTCAGATGGTCCCTTGTTTTGCTTCTGGACATAAATGTAACTTCAAATGAATTTCTCTCCATAGCACGTCACACACAGTTTTAACTGTTTTTGACGTAAGTAAATAAATAAATAAACACATTGTTAACAGAGCTAAAGTTAGACTAATTCAAGGAAACATACAGTGAAATTCTTCAAAGATGATGGTTGGTCCTTTGAACTTTTCAGTTTAGATATAAAAGCATCCAATGATGTATAAAAGCATCCACTAAATTTCAGGAAAATGGCGATATAAAACAAATAAAGAGTATCAGAAATAGAGAGGGATGAATTGAAGGGTGATCGAAGTGAAGGGTTTCAATTACCACATTTTCCGGATTGTGCGAAAAGTATCCACTCACATTCTCTTAGCATTCCGTAGAGAACACCAGGCTAATGCACAACTTTTCCTGGGTCTAAGAAAATATTAACTATTTAACTTGCTAAATACATAATGATGTACGTACGAGTATATTAAGGTTTTGAAGTTGAGCTCAGTCCAGTTCACATATGATTTTAAATCTGAATCATAAAATACGAGTATTAAACACAGCACAAAATTCTTTATAAGGAATATTAATGTTAGTAGAGGGGAGATCAAGGGGAATATGAGTGGTGTAACAACAGGTATCGAGATTCACTGTACTGCTCCTGATAAAACAGCATCCTTTCCAAATGGAACCTAGCATGCTTATGAACGAGACGTTATCCCGACTGGGAGCCCCAGAACCACGAAAAGATGCGCTAATTTTTACAAAAACTGAACAAACTAAATGTATTGTTTCATATTTTAGCTCGTCAGGATGAAAGTTGCCTTCCATCTATAACAACTTTCAATGGGAAAACAGCTTGCAAAGGCCAACTTATAGCGGAAGAAAACTTCAATTCCTTGGAGTCATCGACCTGGGAACACACTATACAGTTTCCCAACATTCATGTGAGTACACAACCGTTCACTAAAGTGAAATTTTTAAAAATTACACAAAACTTGTGAAAACAGTGGACCCAATAGAATGACATTAGCTCATAAATGTTATTATGAATGCTATTTTACAACATTTAAATTATTTCAAAACCTTCTCTACATTCTGCTTGCTCCTTTAAATGTATTGCAATCAAAACATGAAGTTAACAATTCCTTAAGGTCATACACAAGCTTTCATAGTGAAGGCAATGTCTCTTGAAATTATTTTCTAATTTGATATGATCTGCAAATTTGTTCTTTTCTGTATTTCTTAGAACCCATACTTCAGCATTTACACAGCTTCACTAGAAAACAGTTTTGCAGAAAATGGAATACTGCATCTTCGACCTTCACAAGTTCCCGATGATATAGTTAATGGAGCTCTCACTTTAGAGGGGTAAGTAGAATAAAAATCATTTACGAACTTTGTAAAGAAAGTAAACAAACTGCAGATATTTTCTTTTGGTAAAGAACTAAAGAATTTAAGTGACCAACTAACCGTTAATAGATGTGAGTGATATACTTATAATTAACAGTTTGAACGTTACTTTAATATTATTTTACATATTTACGCTTCTTCAAAATTTCTATCAAAATATTTGACACTAAAGGCCACGAGAATCGAAAATAAATGTCTCTTCCCTTCAATTCATATTACAGTTAGTCGTATATTTTTTCATCCGCCAAGGGTAAACTATTTATTACAAAGTTACCCGTCATTATCAGCAATTTTTCATTATTTATTTTGATTTGGATAGCCATTGTGTAATGATTAGGATTTTCCGGAACAGGCATTTCCCCGACGGTAGCGAGTGTTGTTTCTTCAGATAAAAATTTTCCTCGCTTAGCTACTAAAGACATAACGACTTTGAAAATTACATTCCTGCCTCGTGATGTCATGCTACGCTCCGAGATTACTGTGAACGGGGTTACAATTTCATCAATGTTCATTTTTATTCACTAATGAAATGATCGTAAAATATATTCAATTTTGTAGATATTTCACTTTTGATCGCTCATTACGAGTCGACTTTCCTTAACGTCATTCACTCGTGATTTTTTATGACACATCCCCTTCAATGAACACAACTGAACATTTATGGGTCATTACGAAAATAACTCTGGAGCAATTAAATGATTTGACAGTAAAAATTTAGTACCATGATATCGTTTTATTTGTTTATTACTCACTTAGAAATATGAAACTATTTGTACACGTGTCGATTTTACTGCGCCTTCAATAGCTATTAATTTCCGAGTAAATTCAATATATTTATAGCCCGTAGAGTTGATTAATCGCCTGCGCAATCTATGGTAATAAACGTGCCAACGGATAATTCGGCAAACAGCCCATCAAGGGAAAGCAACATGAGGGCATCGACCACAGCCTGTAGAACACACGGTTAGTCGGACAGCATAATATTCCCTCATAATAACCATTCCCGCTCCCAACATTTGACAACGATTGTGAAGCCCCCAGATTATCTAACTATCTGATTGAGGTTTCATTTGACAATATGAGAATTATTATTAAATAAAAATGATTAAGAAGGTTTAATCCATTTAATTTCAATTTAAATCCTTAAATATTTTTGAAAATGCAAAACGGACGTGTATTAGTTTTTCGATTCAATTTTTCTTGTTACTTGAAGACACAATAAATTTGTTGCTTTTTGTTTCCATTACTCAGGGAGTGCCAACCGACGTGAACTTTTTTACCTGGTCTGATAATAAAATTCAAAATGTCTTTTAATGTTGAAAAATAGTTTAAAAAACTTCATTCTTGTTTGTATTGAAATTCATAGAAAACAATAATTAAATATAACTGTCCGTTTCAAACAATTTTAAAGGATTTAGTTCCTCTGCTAACACGTCGCTAATTTCCATTTCTTGCAACTATAAATATTCATTTCTAAAAAAACATGAACGGCAGAAGATTTAAAAATTAAAATAAATCGGTGCATTATTTTTAATTGTAAATTTTGAAGCACAACTATTCATAAATTATGAACTAACAAGAGATATGTCAATCAATACACTAGAGATACATAGGTTTGTGATGTGTCAAGTGTTCTCTGTTTATTTAATCGTGGGAAATCCTTTTCTGTTCTTTTTTTTCGTTTTGGTAATAAGGAAAGTCCATGATTTGGAGCGTTGTAATGAAAACGTGATAAAAAATTAACTAAAATAGGGCCTTATTCAAATTACCTTTCAGGCATACATTTTCAATATCTATAAAGAGTATTTAAACAAATCTAATAAGAATAAGAATATAGTGGTACTACAATACCACTCACTTTCTCGTTCGGATTTTCACACAAAATGACGAAAAGTACTCAAATTTTCGAGAAATTGTACCGGAACGTATTTCAAAATCTAGCGTAAAGAAACATATTTCGTTAAGGATAGAATATGTCTTCATAATTATTGTTGTAGAAAGATGCATTTTTTTTCAATTTTTGCAATTTTAGAAAAATTAGTTTGCAATGACAATGAGATCTGCACCATTCTCTTAAATGTCCTTCACACCGTCGAACAACGAAATTTAATCAAAAACGATGGAGCAATTTTTACTTTCTCGCGCGACAAAAGGCGAATTTTTGAAGTGGATAAATCCAGTTGCTAATTTTAGAAATATATCCTCTAACACGCGGTGTAGCCAGAATCCATGTTTTATGGGTCAATGATATCCAAAAATTGACTGACAGCAAAATGTCTGCCCGTATGTGAACAACGCTAGGGGCTAAACCGTACAGTCGATTTCCCCCAAAATTGATATTACTTAATCGGCCAGGCTGATGTTACGGTCTCTTGAATTAGATATCGAAATTTTAATTTTGGGGGTTACTTTACACAAATCCCCTGGAATATTTTCAAAATCGTCTTGAAAATGGCGCCATTATTTTGATTAAATGTTGTTGTTGAATAGGTTTAAAGACATATAAGAGAATGACATCATCAGAATGACAATTCATGTTGGTTGACAACTCTGATTTTTCAAAAATTGCAAAAACTCTATTTTTTTCAGGGTCTTCCTACAACTAAAATATTACAGATAAAAGTTTTTTAAAAATAAAATCTGTTACTTAAAGATAGATTTTAAAATAAGGTCATGTACTATTTTTCGAAAATTTGAGTTTGTTTTCGCATAATTTTGCGAGAAATTTAAGCCTCTTTTCACTTTGTTTAAACTTTTTTTCTCACAAACGGATCCATCATTTTTTATTAAATTTTGTTGTTGGATAGTTTGAAGAACGTTTAAGATAATGGTGCAGGTCTCATATAGGTTAAAAATCCTAATTTTCCGAAATTTGAAAAAAATCAAAATTGTTTCGGCGCCTTCTGACAACTACAATTATGAAGGTTAAGTTTTTTCTTAAAGAAATGTGTTCATAAAAGCACATAAGGGGTGCTGTTGTGACACCACTAGTTTTGAAAAGTTTATAAATGTCCCAGCGGCTTCATGTAAATGACCATCATCCAGAAAAACGGATTGAAGTTTAAGGATCCGAGACATCGGCCAGATCAATTAGGGAATATCAGGTTTGGGGAAAATCGCCTGAAAGGTTTAGCTGTTACTGTTGTTACCGACGGACGGACAGGAAGACGTTTTTCCGTCATTCAAATTTTCACTAGTAACAAAACATATATTCTGTCTACACTACGTGTTAGAGTATTTTTTTATAAATGGCAGAACGTCAGAACACTATTTTTTTACGCAGCATTACATAACGTTCTCTCTAGATCGTAAGCGGTAGCGAAAAAGTAAAAATAAACAATATGTGTATCAGTTTCAACTTCAGAGACTAATGTTCGCTGAAGGTGTAAATTACAACAACAAACTTGTTATTTAAAGGTTTAATTTGCTCTGTAAACAATTGATATCTAATTCAGATTATAAAAACAAAAGGAAAGAGCAAAGTACGCATATTTTCCGAAGGTATGACGACGAAAAATAAAGACCATTAGTAAACATGTAAGTTACTGTAGAGTAGCAATGTCTGTATTAAAAAAATTAATGTTCCGACACAATACAGTTTCATTTACACGAACGAAAAATATAGAGGCAGAGTAAAATTTATAACCTGATAAAACGCGCTGAGAGAAAATCTGGGCGACGAGCACCGCAGAGCGAAACGGAGCGAGCAGGCGCAGTGGCGCTGAGGCGATCCAGCAGGGCGGCCGCTACGCGAAACACACGCAACTCTATGGGGCGCCAAAGGCGTTAAAGAAACCATTCAATTGTATTCTAATCATGGCGTTCTAATCTAATTCAGGCGTTCTAATTGTATAACTTGTGACATCTTTTAGAAATATAATGTCTCAAGTTATATTTATATATGTTGTGTCAAACTAGTTCTGCAGAGTTTCAGGTTTTCCATTATGTAGATGTGGCGACACATACTGGCTGGCAATTCATTTACAAAAAATATACTTTGATTATGTGAGTGTGCTGTTTTATTTTTTAAAATTATATTGACCGTTTCTTCAATAAGACATAATAATACATAAATAATATTTTAAACGTAATTAATATAACATTAATAAAAATAATTATAAATACTCTAAGCAATAACTTTTAGGTTTGCATCGGTGTCGGAATACCATCTTCCTCCCCATTGATATGTCATCTCGTTCTTCACGACTTGTTCCTCAGTCCTCAACCTCATGAAAGCTTTTTTATTCGTATTTTTGAACTTTAAAGAATAAAAATAGTTAAAATTGAAATTACATTAGCAAACTGTTTTTCTACTTAACCTAATCAAAGTATGAAATGGTATTAGTTATGACGTGTGAAAAATATAGTTTTATAGTGCTTATTGAAAAGTGATGTTCACCGATAGTTTTGTTACGTTTATACGAGAATGAAGTCAGGCAAGAATATAATTTATGCCCTCTTAAATAAAATTGCATTGTAATAACACTTATTTATAAACAAAAAGAAATGAAATATTAATTAGGCTTATTTCTAAAAGAAAATGCAGAGAGTCATTTTCATTTAATATTTTTACAATGAAATCTCTTTTAGATACATTTGCAACAGAACAATAAATCTGTCGTCATCTCCACAATGTCATCTCATCATCTCTTCCACTATCACCTAAATTTGGAAATGTCGCTTAGCAGCCAGATCATTCTGCGACAGAATGGCTGTCACGTCGCCGTCGTTTTATTTGATTTTCTGACATTATCTTCCTTTTCCTTTTTTCGAGCGGCAAGGGTGTGAGAGTACACGCGCTCCATCTTGGCGGCCGCGTTGCGCAGGTGCACGGGTCAGCGGGACACGCGTGACTGCTCGCGGCGCGCCGCCGCCTGGGACGTGCTGCCGGCCGTGTACTCCGCGTGGCTGCGCTCGCGCGACGCCTTCCGCTTCGGCCGCGTCGAGGTGCGCGCCAAACTGGCCGTCGGCGACTGGATCCTCAACCGTGAGTACGCGCCCCCGCCCAGCCTCGCTCCGTCGCGCCCCGCCCCGCCCTGCCTCACTTCGCCGCGATCCGATCCGATTCGAACCGATCCACTCCAATCCGAACCGATCCCATCCAATCCCGTCCAATCCAATTCAATCCGCCCCGCTCCGGCCCGCTCCGCCCCGCTTCGCCACGCCCCGCGTCGCCACGCCCCGTTCCACCCCTCTCCGAACCGCTCCTGCCTACCCTGCGCCGCTCAGCCTCACCCCGCCTCGCGCTTCTCAGTCCCACCCCGCTCCGATCCCGCTGCTCAACCCCGCTCCGATCAGTCCCGCTCCGCTCAGCCCCGCTTCTACCCGCTCTGCCCCTCCCTTGCCCGCTCTGCCTAGCTCCGTTTAGCTTCGACTAGCTCCAGCTCTGTCTAGCTCCGCCTAGTTGCCCCCTGCCCCTCCACGGCCCGTTGCGTCACTTCACTTTCCCCACTGCAGTCAATGCCACTGCACATACTTCCTCAAACAACAACATTCCGCAGACCCTTTCGAATTACAAGATTTTATTACTTGGTGTAAAGCAAAGACTGTGTTATTAGACGTCGAAGGTCGTAATACAATACTATTATATTTTATTTGCCTATTACCAAACAGTATACATTTTAAAAATTAAATTATGAACGGAATATTTCTGTAAACATTGTAAATGGAAACTGTGCATCTTTTAGAATAAAGGAGAAATCATTGTGTATTTGGATAAACCCAACCAGTTCTGCAAGGGAAGTTCGGCAAGAATCGCCAAGGTTCGGCAAGATCTACGAAAATGTTTGGAGAGAAAAAATGTTTTCTAACTGGAAGTAAGAATATTCCAAGGATCAGATTCTTGTCAAGAGTACATGTCACCTCTTTGATATCAGATACAATTCGAGAAGAAGATAAGAAAAAAATAATCGCTTTTTTAATGTGAAAAAAATATAAATATTAATGATGAGCTTTTCATTATATTAATTATAAATATTGATTTGATGCTTTTTTCTTCCGGTACAAATTATCACTTACAAAATGCTCGTTCGTTACAAAATGCTTGCACGTACATAATAAGACAAAATTTGTAATAAAATTCTACATCCTAGGAGTTTGTATGAAAGAATTCCGGACATAAACGTTGATTTGTTAGATAACACATGCCTGAAAACTTCACCAAAAGAATTATTTTTCCATGAACTGGAATATTAACTCAAGATTTTCATATTTCTTCGCAATGTCTCTTAACAAATGGCCTCTACAGTCAACTAGTGCTGCTTATTAAGCTGAGATAATTGAGTTAAAGAGAAATAGAAGTTTCTTGCAAATCCTGTCACAAGCGTGAATACGCATCACTCCGTGAGACAATGCTGTTTGAACCTCTGAGTTACTCACCTTGGATGTCGGAGCTTTTATGCACTGAACAAAGAAGTAAAGATAGAGAGCATCATCAGTAAATAGTGGGCAAACTACTTTCAAGATATTATATTCCTTTGTAAGCAACTGTTATCAAGCTATGTCATACTACTTGCATGCAACTATTAGTCTTTTTATCTTCGAAAATAAAAATTTCATTAATTAATTGTTTTTTGTAAATCTTTAGCAAATTACGAATCGAAGACATGTTGAAGTCTTGTAGATGTTAAGGTTTCCAAACAAGTTTATCCCGCAACAGGTGTACGATGAATATTTATGACTATTGATTATATCAGTCAAGCAATCAGATTTTCTTGAAAATTCAAGAAGTCCAGGGTTTTGCGATTACATCTATTCTTTACACAACATTACTTAAAATTACAATAGTAGTTATAATAAAAAGAAATATTACATTTACTTACATTTCTATTTGAAACATAATTTTTTCAAGAGAACAACGAAAAAATTCTGCAACAATTTTCCTTCGGTTTTCTTTTCAGTGAATTTTTTCTTACTTTAGGTGTCCTCGAGTACTAATTTTTTTTCGCCCAGGGGACATAATCGCGCTCTATTACCTCGCATCACGCTCGTTTGGCGGGCGGCGTCGGAGTTAAAGTATCCGGGCCGCTCGCAACTAAAGCCAGTGTTTGCAGCGCAGTCTCAGACTGTGGGCTAATCCTCGCCCTAATTCCATCCACTAGTTACGGGACTCGGAAATTCAATGCTGTAAATTGCGCCCGCCGCCTCCCTTTCGCGCGCCCAGAGGCGCGAGCGACCGGCGCTGGCCAGGCCGCAGCACGGGCGAAGGAGGCTGGCAATGAGCGAGAAAACGCCGAGGGAAGAATGAATTGGCGGGTAAAGGGGTTTCACGGCTTACGCTTAGCGTATCGGACTGTTATACCCAAGTTCGCGGGTTCGAATCCGATCGAAGACACGGATTTATAAGAGCGAAAAGATCGCGCCCTTAGAAATCTCCTTTTTGTGAGGTGAAGTAAACACGGTTGTCCCATTTTGTAGATTTACTGTAGGGGAAAGATCCTCAAGGCTACAAGAAGCCTCTGGGATAAATTCTAAACGTGTGTTTCGTCGCCCGAGTGATACCTTCTTTCGGTACTAGTTAGAGAAAATTTGCATAGTCAGGCGGAAGAGCATATCTGAAATCTTCAGCATAACCCTCTAAAATAAGACATTATTAAATTGCATTGAAAGTCGTTGGTGAGTAAAAAAGTTGGGTTATCGGAGAAGTTCTGTTGAAAGAGTTTGATTAGTAACAAAAGTGGCAGCGTTGTCCATGTAAAATGCAACGAAGAGAATGTAGGTAGACACGATGGGAAATGTTAAGGGGAGAGGATGATGGAAATAATGAGGATGATAGCAACAAAACGGCTTCGGGGAAAGAGGAGAAAAGATGGCGAAAGGCTGCAAGTAAGAAGTAAGAGAGCTCCCGGATACGGCGAGGGATGCAGCAATGGGAGCGAATGGTGGGCGGAGGGCGGTCCAGTGGGGAGCGCGGAGACGATTCGCAGAGATGAGCTATAAAGAGGAGGCCGATGTGGCGCAGGCGGAGGCGGCGGCGGGGATGCCCGGCCAGGGCGCGCGCCTTGATGAATATTTCACTGCCGCTGCGCTGCGAAACGGTTCCCGCGGCCATCACAGCCGACTTCCGACAGCTCTCCACTCGAAGCTCTGAGGACGAGAACTGACTTGAAAATGACTTTACTCTCTTTACTCTCTTAGGATCGATAAACAATTGTTCTAGTTTGTGTTTAGAAAAAACCATCAAATCGTAAATTATTGAATACTGCAGCTTTAGAGCAAGTACGAGAACCTTTATACACTTGTAAAGCCAGATGTGAATAAAAATAATTCTACACCAATTCTCGGAAAGTTACCTTAAAAGTAATATTTCTTAAAACTTTAAGAAAATGTACGCGAACTAAACATTTTTTGAGATATTTGTTTTTAAGCCTTAGTTATTTATTAGTTTTAACGCATATCCACTATCCCAGTAAGAGTGTCAATAGGTAGTCTTTCCAATTATCATTTTCTAAGATTTCGTTGTTTCATTTGCTGTTTACAAGAAAGTTAATGTAAAGAAATGCAATCATTTAGTTATCTTACCGAGAAAAAAAACAAAATTAATCAGGAAAAGTTTTAGATTAAAAACATCGCTCGCAATATGATGGCAATTAGAATTAGTTCCTAGATTTAACACATTATTCAATAATGTAAGCAAAATTAGTGTATTGGGTGTAAGAAAAGTACATAAAAATGAAAGAACTTATAAATGTGAATAAGCACTGAAATTGCACTAATTTGGTTAAAAAATTGATATCCATAACAAATCTTTTGAATATGTTACTAGACAGCCCAGAAGCTATTGTTCTGACTTGAAGATTTATAACATTAGAAAATACTTCATCGTGCTTGTGAAATTGTATTAGTAACCCTTTCTTGCCTATCGAAGCTTCTAAAGAATGGTTTTAGTATTTTCCCTATTTAATTTTTAATTCCTTTTTCATATTATTTTAGTGTTTTGTCCTGACATTGACTTTGTTCGGACTTTAAACTTACGAATTTACAACTAAACTTTACCGCGTATTATACTTCAGTGCAACCAGAGAATAAACATTGAACTCAGACTGCAGGTCTAGGAAGGGTTAAAAATCGTAGCGCGAAAGAGATATGGTTCTAGTGAACATTTTTGGAATATTTCCTGCTCAGAGACTATCCTCGGCCTTCAGGAATGCCATTCCACTCTTAGAGTCTAGCCAGTGACCCCTACGAGGGCGGAGTTCTGTACGTGATATGTGATATGATGATATGAGATTTTCACGTGTGTCATTGGAGTATTGAAAAGACAATAGTTTAGTGTACACGAGCTTTAGGTATATTGCGATTGAAACAAAATCATGATATTGGGACAAAAATTTAGTGTGCAATAACAGTAAGAATAATTTTAAGTAAAGAAACTGAAAATATTATTTCTGTTAAGTTTGAAAAAATTAAGAACTGTCTGCTGGTTAAGTCCAATCAAGATTACGAAGATTACGTTTTCCACCAAGTAAGTTCTCAGTGTTAGATTAAAAATTTGAATAATTTTAATTAAAAGGATTGTATACTACAAGGGTTTACCTAATACTCATTCATCATACTTAATGTGCCTTTTAGCATTCCGTCTTTTGCAAGAATAAATGTCTTTTCCCATGCTATTTTAGCGACAATACATGCTCTTTTATCTAACTTAGCTAGAATTAAACTCCTATATTTCGGACTTTAGATATTATGTGTTTTCAAACAATTTTTCGTACTCATTAAATTTTATAAAGCTAAAATTAGGCGTTGAGCTCAACAGTACGCTTGATATAACAGTGGATCATTTTTCTTTCCTTCAACAACCCTTAGCTTTACCGAGGGGTCTCATTTCTGAGCTTAAATTTTACTTTAAGCTCTCTCTTATCCCATGGACTGCTCCAAGAGCAACTGCCCAGCTCCAATGAACGGAGCCATTATTGTCACTTGAAATTACGGGTAATTACAAAAATATATTAAAAGCAAGTAGTGTTACAGATGACACAAACTTTCTCGTATTTGTTAGTTTCCTATTCTATGAGTGTGTGTTACCTTTTCGATGTTGATTCACCCCATTGCGAATGTTATGAAACATAATATTTGCTTTACACATCAGTTAACTCAATGGTTTACCTCATTTACATGTAATATTTATATTGAGGAAATTGTGTTTTATCAAACATGTACACTTTTTACATCATTTCAAATTTACCATCCTCTAAAAGTATATGGAAATATAACGATAAGAATATCTTAAAAGAGTAAAACCTGTATCTATGTAACTGCACATTTCCACTGAAAAAATTAGAGTCATTTTTGAGAGACTATCTCTTGAACGTTTATGAAATTACGCAATTTTGAGCTATTTTCACTAGAAAACTTGAGTTTTCGAGAAAATGCTTAAATATTTATTTAATACACTTGTGCGAACAAATGCAATTAATTATAAAAACGCATGTAATGTAAATATTAATGTGGGGGTTATTTCAAAAAATTACATTTGTAATTTTTTTGGAAAATCGAAGGTTTACTATGAAATGGCGTTTACATCATGTTATTCTGTGCATTTAGTTATATCCATACAAAATGTTCAACGAAAAAAAGGGAGCCTTTTTAATAAAATCATATTTTTAAAATTGTTCATATTTCACTCACGATTAAGCAAAAAACTAATGATATTAAAAGAAATGTCAATTAAAATATGTAACATGTAAGTACACAGAAATAACTTCATGGTACATTAAGGTTAATAGTAGCTGTTGCGGTCAAACGAAATTATTTTGTTTTCTTTGTCGGATTTACAGATTTATCTAAACACGTGAGCATCGTCTCATTTTTGCATGCAATAAACGTAAATAAAGTTGAACGTTTAGCAAGCTATGCATTCTCTGACAGAAGGGCTTTTATTAGCAGCTGTTTAAAAAGCTTCACTTTCCCTGGGTGGCGTGCGGCGCGCAGACATCTGGCTGCAGCGGGCGGACGCGGCGCTGGAGGAGGGCGTGCAGGAGACGGCGCGCGTCAGCCTGGCCTTCCTGCGCGGCAACGCCAACCTCACCTGGGACAACGGCACGGCCATCGGCGCCTCGCGCCTCTCGCCCGGCGTCGTGCTGGGCTACTGCTACCGCAAGCTGGCGCTCGGCATGGAGTGCGACGTGGAGGGCGACGGCCTCTGGACGGACGACTTCCACGTGTTCGGCGTCACCTGGTCCCCCGGTACGCACCCGCACGCTTCGTCGCGAGGGAAGGTTATTGCGTAAACAGGCCGAGCTTGGGCAGGCGGGACCCGGGGCGGGGTGGTTAGCCGCGAGATGCGAGGTCTGCGGGTTCGAGACCCGTCTTGGATATGGGTGTTCCCTTTAGTGCTGTGACATGGCGGTGATTATCCCAACCACCATGTATCACTTTCAATGCCCCATTCATCTTCCCATGATTCACTTTTATATAGTAAAAATATTTTTGTTAACTGTTTCAGTTAAGTACACGCACTTGTTGACGGCCACACAAAATTGAGAGAATCGTTAATCGAAATAAATTTAGAGGCTTCTTAAATTTGTAACATTTTAGCAGCTGTAAGTAAAAATACGTTTTAAATATTCTCAAGAGAAAATTAAAATATATAATCTATTTATACACAATAATATCTTAATTCCAGTGGAGGATACATCCCAGACAAGTCTATCAAACGCAAATAATTTAATGATGGGGAAAAGAATGACTACAACCTGTGGTTGATTATCTGTAGTTTTCCACTAACATTCATTCGTTATTTGTTGACATTAAAATAGTTTTACATAATTTAGAACACGTTCTTGTCTTATTCGTCAAAATACCAGTTTAATTTACATGGCCAGATACTTGGCAATGTGTTTTAAGTCCCATAATTCGGTCTCATAATTTTCTAGAGGAGATAGTATTCGGCATGGATGGCCACGAGATTTACACTCTGCGGCCACCCGACGAAGGATTCACCTTGCTGCCGTTTTTTGAAGACTGTCCCCGCCACGCGCGAGGGAAAATTGCACCTCTTGACCAAGAAGTACGTAGTCTCATTTTGAACTTCGAAAGGGTTGTTCACTGAGTTTCAAGAAATTATATGATATGATGAATTTGATAATATGATCATTTTTGTATTTTCAACAATTCCTTAGTTATACAAATAATTACTTGGAAAATAAAATAATGTAGAGAATTTTTTTCTTGGAATTTAAAATTTTGAGCCACTTTATTTGTAAATGTAGAGAAAGAAATTGGCAATTTTTTTGCATGATTTTCGTTCTGATTATTTTAAAAGAAAATGTGTTTAAATGCAGATGTACCTGAATATTGCACTCCATGTCGGAGGCTCCCACGAGTTCCCGTCCGGCGTAACCTCAAGAGGGCTTCCTAAGCCATGGAATGATAAAGACCCTAAGGTAGAGTCTACTATTTGTCAATGTTATTACTATCGTTTTCAATGTACTCATTACTGATTTTTTTTCACCAGGCTAACCTCAATTTCTGGAAAGAGAAGAACCAATGGTTGCCAACATGGTCGCTTCAGAAATCAGAAATGAAGATCGACTGGATAAGAATATGGGCTCTCTAGCCACCTCTTTTCATGTAGTACTAGGCGAGTCGTTGACATGTTGTAAGTTCCGCGACTGCGGTTTGCCAATAAAGTGCCTTGTAAACAATCCTCCTCCTTGAGCGCTGTAAATGAACTGGCACGGGCGAGGGGCCGGCGGAGGGACGGCCGAGCGTAATTACTCGGTTTGATGGCAAACAAGCCGCCCCCAAATGGTGTTTCCGGAGGCCATTAACTGCGGGACAGCCCGCAGACCCGTCCTCACTCGAGGACCCAACAGATGGAGGACTGCTTACTACTTCTGTGAGAACACGGCACGACCTCTATTTGCTGAATGTACAGGCAGCTTCGATTAACGTTACGGTCTCAAGGGATGTCTCCTTAAAAGAAAATTTTAATCTGAAAATTGTGGTAAAAAGTTTTATATTTTATTTCGAAAATTATGACATCAACATGGCATTAAATAACTTACAAATATGACATTACGTTAAAAAAACGTTTTTGTGCTCTTGGCTTGCATATAGTTTTTTCATGTTTGAATAAAAATATCGTAATGTTGCTCATTTACATGCATTGTTATTTGATGTTCCTTAATTCTTAGTTTAATTACATTAAAATAGAACATTAATATATCAATTAATAGGCACGTTTCGTATTACGTTTTGTATTTAAGTTTTGTATTACCTAACAAACATCATACTTTCGAAAAGAAATTTGATTATTTTAATTGTTACTTTAATTAACTTTTTAAACGAAATGATATTTTGTAGATTTTTTACAGCATTTATAGTTGAATTCCCACAATCCATTATTGATTTCACTAAAAGAATCCATTCCTAGAAAGACTCTGATAACAGTTGGAGGCTCGCAATGACGATGGAAGAGAAACTCTCAGTGTTTGACTCTGGGTGTCGGTCATGCTTCATTATTCGCCAGCTGAGGTGCTCCAGTTCGTACAGGACGAAATTCATGGAAATACATCATGCAGCAAGATTTGAGGTTTACACATTTTTCAGAATGCATCATGAACTTATCACAAAAAGGAATTGAATTTTCAAGTGCTCTGATCATGTTTTTATAGTTGAAATATCTCCTCAACATCATTCTCATGAGGTACAATGTAATAAACATAACTAATATATTTCTTACTTAAATTATGTTTACTTTAATGGACCATTTATGTTGAAGACTATCAAAAATAACAAATATACTACGAGAAAACTATAAATAGAATACCAATGTTACCTACTTCGTTTCATCGCAGTCGTTTTCATTTGCTATGTACCAACCTTTTTACAAGTGTTAGGTTCATTTCCACTGTATCAGATTTGAAAGTTTAAAAAAAGTTGCTTTTTTGAGATAATCTTTGAGAAACCATGATAAATTCAAATTTCAACAGATGCAAGACCCGTTAGAATTTTTCATTTTAATTATTATGGATCAGCGGTATTGTTCATAATTGTACACAATTTCTGTCATTCGAATCTATATTGGAGTCAGTCTTTGTGATCAGGTACTGTTTAAAGTCAATTATTTTCACTTTGCCTAAAGGAAAATAATCAATAAAGATATAAAATTTCAATAACAATACAATTAATTTACGTCATCCATTACATTATCCATTACGTCATCCATTACGTCATTCATTACGTCATCCATTACAATAATTAATACGTCATCCCTCACTAACATCGGAGAGTGCCCTCGGGCCAGTGAGGCAATGGCTTTCTATGGCAGCTGAATAATTCTCAGAAATGCTGTTTTCCTCGTGTGCACCTGACATGCTCCCAAGCGCGTCATTTATCCTCATCGCCAAGCTCCACGAACAATCAACACTTTTTGGCTTCTTTCCTATATTTCTGTTATGTATTTTTTGCTTTTGCACATATTTCACTACTACAGTTAATTTTAAGGCACTGTAATGCATGAAGATATTAGAGAAATATTTCTTAGTGCTTTAAAAATGAAGGAAATAAAATATAACATAGCAATCAATTTTCAGCCTGAAATAGAGAAACGCATATATTGATTTAATATTGTCTTCGAGGTTGTGATTTAACTTTATTAATAATATCTTACTGGAAAGAAATGATAAAATCGGTAAAACTTCTTTTCTATTATTAATGCGTACATAGTAAAGTTACATTCATTTACATGATGGGATTTTACTTTAAGTCTATTTTACATGGCAAATAAGATGTTCGATGTGATACTCGAATTCTTTGACCTAATTTCAAGTTAGTTTGCTAATTTTAACTTGCTTCGCTTGATCATCATATTTGCCCTGTAAAAAGATTGCATTTGACCGTGGAAATAAAATGAGAAAGCAATTCCTTGATAAGACCACAGTTTGGACAGTAATTTTCAAAAATCGAAGAGTAGAAATGGTACAGATCTGGCGAGCCAGCTAAGTCAACACATTGAGTCGATGAAGCCGAAACGAGTATTCCGTTTATCCATTTGGATAGTTTCCTTCTACGTGCCCCTTACATCCTTCTCGAGTCTCTTGATTGGTGTTTCCGGACGGTTCGATTGGTTAGTGTTTTCGGGCGCGTCAACGTCTCAGAACATTATTCCCGTAGGTGTAGTGAATGTCTTTATCGCTGGAGGTGGTGGTGTTCTTCCCCCGCTAGATGGCGAGATATGGTGCAAACACCTGTCGGCGGCACGTAGGGGTTTTCCCAACCAGGTATCTCCTAGAAACGGGGAACCGCCTCAAACTCTAAACTTCTGGCCGGTCTCCCAATACGTGTGGTATTGTTGTGCATGTAAGTGTAAGTACGCGAAGAAAGAGGCAAGGATAGGATAAGGGAGAAGAAGGACAGATTGCGCGCAGTCTTTGACCCATTTGTTTGAGTGTTGTTCTGGAATTTCCCTGGAGTTGATCGGAGAAACCACGGAAAACTACCAATCACAGAAGCCGGCCGCTAGAATGCTCCTCCAAAATGCGGCTGAATTCGATCTAGCCTTCTAGCTAGTGTTCTGCCTCTGTCGGAACTCGAACCCCAGGTCCTCCCGGTCAGAAGAACTGCGACATCAATTAATGCCCTGAGCCACATAATCCGGCCAATTAAGTTGAGATGGCTCTAATTTAAGAACGGGAGTTGAAGTGGGGTGATGGGGATAGCAAACAGCCGCCTTGCAGAATTAACAACAGGGACTTCTCCCCGCGGGTAGCGTGGAAAGGGCCGTTGATTCACAGACGTCATTCTCACCATTTAGACACACTCCAGAAAGTTCGGATGACACAAAACTATCTTCTGGTTATTTTTACTACCACCGTCTACCTAATTTATACTTTTACCCACAGTTATTCTGACAGTATTTTTTAATTTATTATCGTACTTACATTTTTGGACTATAATGTCACAGAAAATTTATCAGAAGAAAAACGAAAATATTATGTACGCTATAATATCGGTGAAAAATCCATGCATTGCAGCTTTCCAACTTCAAATAATTATTCTTAATTGGTACTCACAACTATTATTCCTATTCATTTTTGATATGTATGTCGGAAAGTGACTTGAAGGAATATTAAATTATTTGTTAATTTCTTTCCTAATTCTCTTGCCAACTGAGTACTCGTAACTTGAAGCAAATGGAAAACTTATATTGCCAGCGGAATAGTTCTTGTTCACTCCGATTGTGAATTTAAAGGTCCTAGTTTAAAGTGTAAAGTTTTAGTAGACAAAACAATTTTAGACTCGTTTAGGTATTTTTACTATTTTCTAACCTTGCTAAGAGGTATTTCTCATCAACTGCAATACTGCTACAGAAACATTTTTGTATCGTTTGTTCAGATTTGAAACGTTAATTACTTTCAGAATGATCAAGTACAGGTACAATGAAACAATCAATGGATGAATGAGTTTGACAATGGTGAACACAATGAAAGAGAAAAATAATAATTACACCTGGTATACCCTGATAACTTATAATATGAATTCTAAATTACAGAAAACAGTTGTCTAAATTACATTTATCAGTTACTAGTCATCAGTAACTACGATTTGAGATATATGTTTAACTATGTTACTGGTTGTACACTGAAAGCAGTACGTGGTGACATGATGCTTTTAGCAATTTGAAACTGTGACAAAGACGGTACATTCCATCACTCACTTTTCGCAGCTCAATTTCTGGAAATTACACAATTAGTTACACTAACAGAATTAGGTTCCCATCACCACAAACAAGACGGCAGCAGAACTGTTAACGATGAGTACATGGTCTAACTCGAATTACAAATAACTACAATTGGAGATCAGATTAGTGGAGAAGGACAATTTCAGTGGTTTTCAATTGAGTCTATTTTAAACGATACAACCGTCCCATGTGGATACTACGAGTTAAATTACATTAGAGCAATTCGACACAATTAGCGGGGACAACAGGAATGCAGCGATCAATAGCAGAGAAGCCAACTAGTTCTGCATCACCAACTGCGGAAACGACCTATAGGGGATCAGGGTTTTTCTTTTAAAGGAAGTCATTTGGAACTCAAACAACTTAGACCACTAATGACGAATAATATTTTTTACAAGTACGTTTGAGTTGAATTATTAATCCGTGTATTTAAAAAATGCATTACACTGTCCTTTATGTTTTTGTTTAAAATTAGAAAATGATTAAAATCTAAGTATGTAATTCATAGAATATATTATGATTTCAATAAAAAATTTAAAAATGAAACAGTTGTAAAGAAATACTTGATACATAAAATGAGTTACGGCTGAGGTGGCTCAGGGCATCAACTGATGTCACTGCGGTACCTCTGAACGGGCAACCGTAGACCTCGAGTCCCGTCGGCGGCGGCAGATTTGTCGACGCTAGCTTCGAGCTGGGTCGAATTGAACCGCTGTATAGAGAAAAATTCTATCAGTCGGTTGGTTTCTCCGATCAACATCAGGTGAATGCTGGAGCAGTACCTCAAACGGGTCATGGACCGTACACGATCATTCCTTCCCCTTACTAGTCTTATCCTCATACCTTACATACACTCACTGACACACACTGCACTACCACACATGTCGGGAAATTAGGGCTTGTCCCGGTTGAGGTGGTGCCCTCAATGAATGAAAAATCTGAATGAAAAAAAACCATCAGCAATACGATGAATAGTACATAGATAAACATTTGCACTATACTTACGGGAATAAATACCATATTAAGCATTAATGTGCTCGAAAACAAGAAATAATGAATCGATCAATGAAATGATTTCTTGTAGAATTAATGATTCGGTATAGATAGA